TCCCATACTTCAACTAAGACTCTAAGATGTCATTGACAACTAAATGTCAAGGCTAGCTAGCATGCTCATCAATACACATGTGACAAGGGTGAAAGTATGGAGACCAGAGCTCACTTTGTGGCAGAAACCTAAAAGAAGCTAACAGGGCTGCACAAAGTTGGCTCCCAAGTATCCTCAGCACTGCTGCTGTTACATAGCAGGACTCCCACTAGCCCCCCTCCACAAGCCCAGGAACCAATGGGGTTCCTCAGTCCTTACAGAGTCCTGCTCTTGTTTTATTTGGTACGTGTCTGAGTGGGGCAGGGTACGTCTGATCTTTGTAACCATACCATCAAACACCATTCCTGGAACATAAAAGTACTAAATATTTAACCACGAGAAGTCATACTCCTATTTTCTCAAGGATGAAGTTATAATGGCTGCACTTCCTTGACCACAAAATAAGAGTTCTTCTATCTCATTCTGAGGGGAATCCGAGATCAAGGTAAACAACAAATTATTTGTAGGAAGCTGAAAACCAGCTGAATAAAGCATTAAAACTTTGAAAACAGAAGTTGAACAGAATAAAGACCTTGGCTATAAACATAAATTTAAACTACAGAGAAATGGAGAAACCCGTATGAAATGTCTGAGAAATTAGATATTCAACTACTTTGTACTCTAAAAGCACCAATGAAAGAGTGCAGCGGGAATGTGCCCTCAGACAACACAGTCACTGTTTCTCTACTTATCTCTTAAGGAACCTGAGACTCTTCGAAGAACCAATGGGAGGTTTTACTGGACAGTGGTAATATAAGCATATGCTCCTGCAGAATGAGGAGGATAAAGAACATACAAGGAGGGCAAATGCTCTGAACACTAGCTGCTCCTTTTAAATATTCGTATTAACCTTCAGCACTGGTCATATAAAAGAGCTGGCCAGCCCTGGCTGGTTTGGCTCAGTGGATGAAGCGTCGGCCTGCGGACCGGGGGGTCCCGGGTTCGATTCCGGTCAAGGGCATGTACCTTGGTTGCGGGCACATCCCCAGTGGGAGGTGTGCAGGGGGCAGCTGATGGATGTTTCTCTCTCATCGAAGTTTCTGACTCTCTATCCCTCTCCCTTCCTCTCTGTAAAAAACCAATAAAATATATATATATATATAAAAAAGAGCTGGCCAACATTAATCATTAAAATTTAAGCTGTTATTATAAAATTGGACAAATTGGCACACATTTAAACATTCTGTAATTCAGATATGTCTTCTGTTTAAGAAAAGCCAAAGCAAGATAAATTTGTGTTAAAGGAATTTTGACTCTTCATGATATTTCCTGACTAAGGCCAGAACTTTCAATGCAAGTCTTAGTATAAACCTCTACTGCAGTGAGGTTTGTGTATAAAATAAACAGCACCAGCCGGTTTGCCTGTAGATTCTGGTCAAGGGCTCATGCCCGAGTTGCTAGCTCGATCCCCAGTAGGGGGTGTGCAGGGGGCAGCCAATCAATGATTCTCTCTCATCATTGATGTTTCTATCTCTCTCTCCCTCTCCCTTCCTCTCTGAAATCAATAAATATGTATTTAAATAATAATCATAATAATAATCAACAGAAAGTTTCTGGATTTTAGAGACACTTTTCTCTAAACTGAGTCACCTAGGTTGAAGTTACTGAAGTGGGATGAATAGAGGTCAACAACTAATCTAATACTCACAGCTTCCCATCCACTTTTTCTTCTCAGTCCCTGCTGGAGGGGCCTGGCTTTCCATCCTTACTGGGGCTCTGTGAAGTCAATCTGGGGCCCAGAAACGGGGTCTGCCTCTGCTGGCGCACAGACCTGAGAAGAGGTGTACCACTGTCAGGTCTGTGAGTGGCTGCTGGCACAGAAACTGTCTTTCGGCACTCATCATGTTACAACGGGGACACAGATCAGTGACAAAGGCACCTAATTCCCTTCCTCTGTTCTTAATTGAGCATATTTCTAAACTGTGCATAGCTGTGTATGAATGAGGGTTCCATACAGCTGCTTTAATGTAAAACTATTATATACATCTATCTGTACAAATAATACTCTAGCCCTTCGGTTTCCATCCTCTAATACCTAAAATTCATCAACAAACAGGCAATCCTATCAAACTAGAAAGGCAGTTTCAGATTTGTGTCTAGACAATATTGAGACACGTCTCCCTTCAGAGGTAGAACAGAAAATTTACCTGCCATTGCTTCAAATGTGTAGGGTTTAAATTCTGCAACCAAATATGTGGAAAATAATTGATAACAAAAAGTGACCAGATCCCTCTTTTTTCCTTTAATAAAGAAATACATCAAAAATCTGTGCAAATTATTAGTGTATAATTTCAAATTCTTCTCTTCAAACTAACATATATCGGAACATTACATGAGCCTAACAATCTTTTTAGGACAGATTGCCCATCACTATTATCCAAATTATATGCATCAAAAATATGCTCAAATAAAATTCTTACAAATTTTTTACCTTCCACAGTTCAACGGCCACAGGCTGATGTGGTGGATTGTCACTGTATATGTCATCCACAGTTTTCTTCCAAAACTGCATTCGCATCAGTCCAATTGTTTTCTCAGAAACTGAATCCTTAATCTATAAATAGGGTTTAAGAACTTTAATAAATGCACTGTTGACAGTCTAAAAAATCAATATTTATGACTGCATAATCACATAATTCAGGCAAAAACTAAGTTTAATTATATACATTCGTTTTAATTTTTCCTTAAAGTTAAACTGTTGTCATTATGAGTTTTCTAAGTAAAAGCTACAAATTACGTGGTGCTTATTCAAAAATATTTTCGAAAATAGAAGAGATTCTAGAAAACAACTGCAAGAAAAAACAAAGAGGAGGAGGAGTTTAGTTTAAAAGAAATTTAAGAACTAGATCAACCGGTCTTTACATGTAAACCTTATTGAATCCTGATTTGAAGAGAG